TCCAGGAGGAGGAGAAAATGGTGGACCTGGAAGTTTGACTCCTGGACAAGCAACAAGGGGAACGCTCCAGTACGCTGGAAACAAGCAACACTATTACCTTTTTCGCAGCGCAACAAGGAGGTTGGACAAGGAGACTCTTTTTGATTGTACCTCCGATAACTTTTACCAGTTCATGAAGAACCTTGGTGAAAGAGCCGATGAATTTGGATGGTCGACTTGTGGAGGCATCCTACATGTTCCAAAAGCTGATGGAACCATGGTCAACCTTTTGACTGAGTATGGATCTATTACCCTTGAAGAGATTGAAATTCATGAACGCAGCTACTGGAACAATGGATACAGGAAGTCCCAAGATGACCGGATGCTCTACGAATGCATCATGAAATCACTTTCTACTCTTGGAAAAGCGAAGGTCAACATTCACAGTTCTGACTACAAGCTCATGTCTGGACGATACAATCGCTATCCATCTGGGCTCTGCTTGCTGAAGGTGGTAGTTCGGGAGTCCTATTTGGATTCAAATGCAATGACTGGTATGCTATGTCAACGACTTGCCACTCTGGATCTCTACCTGCCAACGGTCAACAACGATATCATCAAGTTCAACATGCACGTTAAGATGCTACTCAAAGGATTGCAGGCGCGTGGAGAGCAAACATTGGATCTGTTGACGAACCTCTTTTGAGGATATATGGTGTGCAGTGACAAGGAATTTGTCAAGTACATTACCGATCTAGAGACGGACCATGACATGGAGAACCGACCAATCACTGCAGCAAAGCTTATGAAGCTGGCGGAGAAAAAGTACAAGATCATGGTATCGCTAGAAAAGTGGGAAGCTCCTACGCAAGTTGATGAGCAAATCATGGCATTGCAGGCCAAGATTTCTGAAGCAGAAGCTTGAAACCAAGAAGAAAAGAAAGAAAGATGACGATGACAGGAAGCCAGCTCCAAGAAAGAAGAATCAGAAACAGGAAAGTCCGGATTGGTTCAACCATGCACCACCACACGATAAGATCAATGAAACCAAGCATTGGAATAAGATTGATTGGCATTGGTGCTGTGACGCGACTGGTGGACACTGTGGAGGAGTTTGGCGAGCTCACAAGCCAAAGGACTGCAAACCGTTCAAAAAGAAGAACAAGTTTGATCCAAAGAAGAGATCTTCTGGAGGAGCAGCCCTGAAGATTGAGTTGAAGACAGCTGTTGACGAAGAATACTTGGCTGGTTTGACTGGAGGCTACAAATCGGATGTCTACAGCACTAGCGAATGACATGTCAAGGGTCCAAGAGAGGTTGACAAGCAGAAGACGAAGACAACCTACAACAACTCCCTCCTACAATGTATCGGGGAGTGCATCACGCCACACCTAATACGTATAGGGAAAATTGTTTGGATCTTCACTGTTGTCTATTTCTGCCTAATTTTGGACCCATTCCTGGAGAATTATGACACAGGAAAACGATATGTTCCAAAATCTAACAGATGGAATCAATGGAATGACGCAACAAAACGGTTGACTGACACACTTCGAAACTACATCAGTCCGATTATGGAGTTCTTTGACACTATGGACGACAACTGGACCGCCTACTACACTAGAGCGGCGTACAAGAGGACAAAACATATGCATTACCTAGCTGAATCAATGAATGAGGATTATGAGCCTCGCACTAAGGAGACCTGGATAAAAAGGGAATTGAACAGGGTGCATCCGAACAGACGAAAACTAAATCACCCCCACTATCGAGTTCGAAATAAGCTGTTGTATGCTAAGACGACACTGATCTACGTTCACGAGACTACAAATTCAGAGGGAGAAGCAACTCATCACAACAATTGCAAGTTTGATACGGATTCTGGAAAGGTTGGAATCGACAATCGTGCAAGTGCATGCATCTCCCATGTTGCTACTGATTTTGAGGGACCGTTGGTACCTGTGAAGCGTTCGATAAAGGGTTTTGGTGGAGAACGAGTTTGGAATGTATTCAAGGGGACAATTGTTTGGAAGTGGCAAAACAATGAAGGACAACTACATTGGTTCTCCATACCAAATTCCTATTACGTTCCTCATGGTAAATGCCGCCTTATGAGTCCACAACATTGGGCTCAGACGCAATTGAGAGGACGAGTCACGCCTATGAAAAAGCTATCCGAGACAACCAAGGATGGCATTGGAGAATCTACACTCTACAATCGCAGTCAGGTATTTTGGGATAAACGACAATATACAATGGATGTCTACCTTGGAGAACATGATAACGTGGCAACTTTCTACCTTGCTCCTGGATTCAAGAATTTTGATCTGTTCTGCAAAGAGTGCAAGATTGACACAAATGATGACACACCAATATACGCCATGCCAGCTGGAGTTGTGAGCGATGATGAGGGTGGTGAAGATGATGACGACGATGTTCCACCACCAAACGAAAAGAAAGCCAATAAGACATCATTCCTGCCAAACTTACTTCGCCCGATCAGACAACTTAATCCACTGAAGGCACAGCAAACAACACCTGAACCGAGACACACTACATTTGATTTGGATGGTAAGACCACCACTGGAGAGCGACCACCGGTAGTCATCGACGAGGAGGAGGAGAAGCAGGCAACTACGCCAGCCCAAGAACTACTTCGCTATCACCACCGGATGGCACACATCTCAATGGCAAAACTGCAAAACATGGCTAAGCAAGGCATCATACCACGGCGCCTCGCCAATGTACACCCACCTACATGCAGCTCATGCCTCTTTGCAAAAGCAACGAGACGACAATGGAGACACAAGCGTTGAAAAAATTGGACTGAGAAGACAGATGTGAGGACACCAGGACAAGTCGTATCGGTCGATCAGTTGATCTCTCCCACTCCAGGCTTGGTAGCCCAGATGACTGGAATTCTCACGAAGAAGCGCTACACATGTGCGACCATCTACGTGGACCAATACTCTGGTCTTGGCTTTGTTTACCTTCAGAAGTCCACGAGTGCGGATGAAACAATTATGGGAACGAAAGCCTTTGAAGCCTACGCAAAACAACATGGCGCAACAATCAAGGCATACCATGCAGATAATGGAGTGTTCCGTGCAAATAAATGGGTCGATGAATGCAGACAACTTGAGCAGACACTGACGTTTGCAGGAGTCAATGCACATCATTCAAATGGACTAGCTGAACGAAGGATCCGGTCACTACAAGACTTGGCAAGGTCGATGCTCATTCACATGAATAACAGGTGGAGAATGCCTGGGATTGCTCATCTCTGGCCGTATGCAATCAGGATGGCAAATGACGCAATTAATGAAGCGCCAAACCTGAGGGATGAGAAAGGGCGATCGCCATTGCAACTCTTCAGTCAGACTGACATTCAAACCCACAACAAGCATTGGATTCCATTTGGATGTCCTGTCTACGTATTGGATCCGAAACTGCAAACAGGACAAGGATTCTTGAACAAGTGGGAAGCTAGATCTCGAGTTGGAATCTACCTTGGTAGATCACCGAATCATGGAAGAAACGTTGCTCTTGTTTTGAATCGATTGACAGGTTTGGTATCGCCGCAATTTTCATGTCACTTTTGACAAAGGATTTAATACAGTGAAGCAAGATAAGTACGATACTCACTGGCAAATGAGAGCTGGACTCCAGGTACCAAAGAAAGGAGCCATGCCTCCCTCAAATGAGTCAACCAACAAGTTGAAGAGGACGATGCCAGAGCCAGAGGGAGTTCCACAACAATCGAACAAGAGAGTTAGAATGGAAACTGGAGTGTCGGAGCCGATGCACATCAATGATGATGACATGATTGGAAATTCTACTCCTGGAGAAACCAACAAGCTGCAGCAACCTGACGAATCTACAAGTCCAGTCCCACACAATGAAGAGGAAGCTGGCCGCTCAGATCCACCAATGGAGGATGGAGGAGAGCGTCAACCTGAAAGCCAACAGGTGCCCAATACATCTTCGATTTCTCATCCGGCAGAGACCATATTGAAAGTAATGGCGGCGGAGCTGTCAAGCGCAACGAAGAACGGTATTGAAGGTGAAATATTCTGCTTTGAAGCAATGTTCCCAGCTTACTCTGGAGAAGCCGAGCAGGATCCGTTGAAGATTTTCAAGGCAACCTCTGACCCTGACACAATGTACATGCATGAAGCTATGCGTGAGAAGGATGCAGGTGAATTTCGAAAGGCGATGAAGAAGGAATGGGAAGACCAACTCAAGAACGAGAACTTCTCAATCATCCATCGGACATCAGTTCCAGAGGGAGCCACAATCTTTCCAACGGTATGGCAAATGAAACGAAAACGAGATATTCGAACGAGGGAAGTCAAAAAGTACAAAGCAAGATTGAACTTTGATGGGTCCAAAATGAAATATGGACGAGACTACGACCAAACATATGCACCGGTCGCAAGTTGGAACTCGATTCGAACTCTTCTGATTGTCTCTGCAATGCTTGGGTGGAAAACCAAGCAGATCGACTATGTCCTGGCATTTCCGCAAGCACCAGTTGAGAGGGAGCTCTACATGAAACTTCCAGCTGGTTTCAAAGTTGTCGATGGAAACAGTAACGAATACATTTTAAAGTTGCATCAAAACATTTATGGAGGAAAGGCAGCAAGCCGAGTCTGGTATCAATATTTGACGAAGGTTCTCGTCGATAAATTGGAATTCAAGAAATCCAATTACGATGAATGTGTCTTTTACAAAGGAAATGTGATGTAAGTTTTGTACACAGACAACTCCATTCTTGCGGGACCCGATCAAGCCGAGATTGACCGAGTTGTGGCTGAAATTGGGGAAATCCTGGACATTACTGATGAAGGGGACATTCAAGACTTTCTTGGGGTTAACATTGAAAGGAAGCCTGACGGTTCTATACACCTCACCCAACCACATTTGATTGATCAGATTCTGAAGGACCTAAACATGCAGGAGGACACGGCGACACGACCAATCCCAGCAGCATCATCAAAGCTGTTGTCAAAACATTCTGATTCTCCAGAGTTTGATGGATCGTTTCACTACAGATCTGTCATTGGAAAATTAAACTACCTGGAGAAGGGTTCAAGGCCGGACATCGCTTATATTGTTCACCAGTGAGCAAGGTTCAGTACATGCCCAAAAAAAGGAGCATGGCGAGGCAGTACGATGGTTGGCGCGATATCTCAAGGGCACGAAAGACAAAGGATTGATTCTACGACCTGATAGAACAAAAGGATTGGAGGTCTACGTTGATGCTGACTTCGCTGGAAATTGGGATCCCAAAGAATATGAGGATTGCGATACAGCAAGATCAAGGCATGGTTACTTCATCAATTTTGCAGGTTGTCCTATCGTCTGGAAGTCGCAGCTGCAAACTGAGATTGCGTTATCATCAACAGAGTCAGAATACACTGGAATCTCTTACTCACTTTGTGAAGCAATACCCATCATGAACCTTTTCAAGGAGATGATCAAGTATGAAATCCCGATTGAAAGCCCAATTGCAGAGGTACACTGCCGAGTATTTGAAGACAATACTGGAGCTCTGGAAATTGCTAGGGTGCATAAGTTTCGACCAAGAACAAAGCACCTAAACTGCACGACTAAAAGAAGTTTGAGTCTTCAAACTCCTCACAATATTTTAAAATCGATTTTCAAACAAATCTATATTCAACCCCAAATTGACAACGCCCCAAAACCTAGTTTGAGCCGTATCAACGTGGTTTTGTTACAGCCGGTGAATGCTGTATACAAGGGTTCCGTCATAGGTGGAGTTGTATATGGAGCACGCGTCTGGTCGTACCATGCTGCGTTTTCTTGCATACAACCTTCTTCAACCAGAGCACGGTCGGTGATAGTACGCAGCTGCTGAGTGCCGTCTGGTAATTTCTCTTCAATCTGAATAGCCTGTAACCCCCTGTAGATCCTTTTTGTTGGGCGCGACGACGGCGTCTTGCCTCCTCTCGTTGCTTCATTTGTTGTAACCGAAGGAATCAATCGTGGGCCTTCTGGGATATCCATTTCTTCTTCTTTGCGTCCTTTGTCTGAGCCGTAAGAAAGTCCCGTCTCAATTGGGTTGCCTGATGTTTGGCTTGCTTGTATGCCCTTTGTTCAGCTGCCAAAGCCACTTCCAGTTCATCAGTTGTCTTCTTCCATGCGTTGCACAGCCTTGTCTTCTTCATCAGGCGCCGGATCTTTTGGGAGCTCACGCGACATTGCTTGCATCCTTTAAGGAGTAGCTTCCAGAGACTCAACCGATCCCAGAAGCCCTGCAATTTGGGAGACCAAGGAACCTTGCCAGAGGAGGTAGTGCGGCAATTGTCTTCACATTGCCTCGTCTTGGCTTCCACTCCAACAACAACATTATGACAAGATCAGATGTCAACGATCTGTCTCTCTTTGGGCGTCCCGCCTCTCACAACAGCTGATCTCAATCGGCTTCTACATGTGATAATGTTCAAATATGTGAACGTCACAGTACTGTCAATGAGGGGATTCACTCACAGTTTGATATGGGGCCCAATGACTTGCCTAAGGAAATTCAACCAATGCTAACAAGCCGTCAACAAGCCCTTTGCAAGTCCTTGGTGGACAAGGAAGACTTGCTTAAGTTGCTTTGTCAGGAACGCAGAGATTTCCGTCGCTCCATGAAAGCACAACGCCGCAGTCTGCGGACTACTTTCTCCCCTGGACCCTGACCAACTTTTCGCGGGACCTTACATGCCCCAAATTCATCCCGCCACGTTGCGGGAGAAGTCTTTACCCCTTTGGGAGACTTGATGCCTCACATGGTTCAAACTTGTTGTTGACTCACCGCTTCACAGTACTTGACCTTTACAGCCAAATATTTCACCGGCAATCGAATGCCCACAGAGTTGCATATTAACGATTAATGTCTCAGTTGTTATTATTATTACCCAAGACTTGATCAGCTTGAATATTGGTAAGTTTGCACAGTTGATGAATCAAGAACAGAACTATCCCTCTCAACATGTTTCAAGCCAACTGACCGTACTTCTTGTGACATACAAAGATGTAAGAGCCTTCCATTTCTCCAGGAAGGATCATCAAGAAGAGTGGACCTGCTTTATGGCGATCAATATTGTTCTGTAGTTTGCAGTCGGTGGCTTCAGCCAGTTTGCGTTGTGCCGGGGACAGATCTTCGAGAAAATGATTCTTGAGGTTATCAGAAAGGGGCAACTTCTTCTTTTTCTTCTTCTTCTTCTTTTTTGTCACCTTTGTGAATGCCCCGGATAGAGAAACCGCTCCCTCCTGAGATTCATTGTTGTCCTCCTCTTCAGATGAGTCGTCATTGGCAGTTGTTGGAGAGGGTTTGTCTTTGCCAGCTGTGAAAGCTTGATCAGCCTGGACCGGAGTGGCCTTGATGGACAAGAGCAGTTTGAACAGGGTGCAAGAACCGTACAACCTTGTAGTAGCAAACTTGAACATCCCCGTGAAGTTGATGCCTGGATATAGAACCTCCGTCAAAATGTAGTAATCCCGTAACTTGCTGATCAAGGTCAGGATCGCATCCTTCACCGGACCGTAGGCCTTAACACTCAGCAAACCTTGTTGTGCCAACTTCCAATCACTGATGTAGGTGGCCGGTGCTGCAAATGGAAAGTCAGGTTTTCCAGTTGCTGGGTGGAGAATTGACCTCAAAGTGCGATCAACTCTCTTGGCATGAATCCTCCGAGTGAAACAGTGTGGACTAGTCACTCCGGGGGACCGTTCGTCGGACATTGCTCAGCCCATGTACGGAATAGAGACCCAGTCAATCTTAATACCAATAGGTACTTCAAAATCAAATAGTCTCATCAGCTCCTTTGCATAAGCAGAGAAGTTGACTTCTGCAGGAATAAACGAGCATGATCCGATCTTCACAATTTCTCCATACTGCAATGGAAAAGGGTAGCACCCAGCGCCTCTGCCCAATTGACGTAGTCCGCTATGAAGGTAGTCTTGGACGGCCTCGACCGAAATCTCCAAACACAAAGGCGTGTGGGTAGTTTCTTCTCGCCCGGCTTGCTGTTGGTTGCCGCGTAGGGACAGTTACCGTATTCCATATCACAGTAAGTCGACAGAGCGCGATAAGTCAAAATGCGATTACGTAAATCTACTGAGTTTCGAATCCAAAGATTCGGTTGCTTATATGTGGTATCAGAGATTGGGAGAAGCTTCAATTCATTAGGGGAATTGTTGATGGCTTCCTCCATAGAATTCAGAACTGTTGACAAGAGCGCCTCCGCCACAGTTCCTGAATCCGACCCTTGATAGTCCATGGAGAAAGTAGTCTCAAAGATGTGACATTTGCCTGGTATCCCTTCCATGTTCACCTGAATGAGGTTTGAGATCCGTTTGGCCAGTGTTGGGGGACGTTGAATGCGAGAAGGAGTTGTTTCCGAGGGCTCCATAAGGGTCCCTGCACCTGCTGAGTCTTGTGTTGACGTAAGTTTAGGAGAAGTCAACGGTAGAGTGTTGTCGTCCATGGCCTCATCATGCAAGTTCACCCCAGCGGTATTGATCCGTTCGTCATCATCGTCTTCCTCCATTGCGTTGTCCACAATGTTCTCCCTGTCGTCAGTGTCGTCAGCATCAGCGTCTTCATCTTCATCTGACGACTCAGGCGCCTTGGAGTCATTCTTTTTCACCGCCACCACTTCAACCTCGTCGAATTCTTGAATTCCACTACCGTCAAACGAATCATTGTCACTTTGTAGAGGTGCAAAGCGGTTTGAGTTTTGCACCTGATCCCCTTCGGAGCTGGTGGAATCGCGTTGAGCATCCGTGCCTGGTTCGTCAATAGAATACATCGGATTGTATATTTTTTGAACACAAGGCGGATCTGGTTCCTTCACTGAGTCTTGATTTGGGGCTTTGTTGATAGACTTGCCACTTCTTGTTTGTTTGATTGCGTCAACAATTGCGGATGGCGGATCATCGTAATACTCCAACAGAAACTCATTAATCCAAGGATAGTCAAACAACTCGGAGCAAATGAACCAAAAGCCCACCAAGGGATGCTCCCAACGTAGCCGTGGATTGGGCATTTCGCCTGAAAAGAAATGGTTGTCGTCCGGTTTGCCCTCAAACTCATCAATACCGAAAAAGGAAAACGGATTTTGTAAAGAAATTTGCATGGCCAAAATGCGTAAAGACCAGATTTCTTCCAACGGATTCACTTCCATCGTTTCAGTGTCAAATGCGGCAATGAGGTACTGTGTCAATTGACTATTATCCAAATTCATCGATGTGAAAATGTGGGCAAGATGATCTTAACAAGTTGCTGTCCCTGTATTGTTGTTAAATGGATCGTCATACCGGAGTCAGGGTTGGTTCCAAGCGGCAGGAAAAACGTTCTTCCCACACCATAAAAAGCGCGTTACCCATATGGATACGGTCATGGCGTTCCAATGCTTTGTCGACAGCATCTCCTGAATATAAATTCTTCATCCACCACTCCGACAGGTTTGGAACAATGCTGTCGTAATGTCCACTCCTGCAAGCTTCTCGTTCGGCGATTCGTTTTGCCTCAATCTCATCAGCCATGCGTTGCGCTTCATTGTCGTCGGTAACACACTTCACTTCAGTTTGGGTTTCAGACAACATCTTGGAATCGATTGGATCCCTGTCTTTAGGCTGTTGTAGGTCAATTTCCACTCGTTTCTTGACTGACTTTTTAGCCACAGAGGTCGTTTTCATCTTAGACACGCCCGACTTTTTTGTCATTGCCGAGGATGCCTTCGCCTTGATAGATTTGCCCATGGTGCGCCGGTGATGAATGGTTGGCTTGGTGATAATTTTGAAGTTTTCTACGTAAATTCAGTACTAGCGCTACGCAAGACAGACTGGTTGGTTCTGCCGGAACGCGTGTTGTTTCGTTTCTGAAATATTTTTTTCTATAGATATTCTTCCTGCAAGGGGGCCCATTGACAAGACAACAGTCCTTCCAAGAGTCCTTGGTAGCCAATGCATTGTCGAGAGCGGAAGGCCCTACAGAGGCGGCCGGGTACACCCCACAGGGAAGGAAGGGATGGATCACGGACACCTTGAAAAAGGAGGAGGATGGCATGTTTCATGGCTAGGTCGGTCACTTGGGTGTCCAACCATTGGTCCAGGGCATTTGCAGCTGAGAGACAAAAGATGGTTGAGACATATGTAAGTGGAAAACCTATTCCATGTGGTCGATACTTTGTTGTGATGCTGGATTTCTCACCAACCATTCTGACGTCCAAAGGATTACACATTGCAGCATCAAAAAAAAGTACCCAAGAGATTGTTTGGCTTTTTGTTGGGGGCGGAACAAAGGTGACCTAATTGGAAAAGAAACGGATTAGGGACTTTTTTCATTTCATGAAAAGATAGGTCAAGAATGGAAGGCAACGCCCTAGGAAAAGGAAGCACGATTGGAACAAAATGGATTCCTCCACAAATTTCTGGTGGAGAAAGTAGAGGCATCAGCTCATCAGGACATTGAAGGATTAAAGGTAAAGCACCCTTGCAGTAACCTAGAAAACAGCATGTGACTAAGAGAACATATGTAGTATTGAAGGCTGCCTCAAGGTTAGAATGGAGACATGCATTGTTACTTTTACTTTTCATTGCACCATGTTTGTGTTTGGATCGTTGTTATTTTGTGGGAAGAGGCAATGCATTCTCTGCGTTGTCTCTCTGTTGTGAGATTGTCTCTGGCACGTCCCCCAAAACCGTCAGCTTGGCCCTTCTTCACCATCTTCCTGTTCATCCACAGCAACACAGACAATTTGCAGGATACAATGAGGAGTCTAACCGCCAATGGGCAGACTCAATTCAATATGTATGAAAGCAATATCTGATTGACAGCAAATCACAGTCTAGACATGGAATTCCATAGCAGCTGGCAAAGGGAGACGCTGCCTTGTGTGAAACTCAACAACTGAAAACAACCCAAAACACACCTAGAAAAAAGATTCCAACACCCGAGAAGATTGTATAGAAACTGGTACCTCCCTTGGTCTTTTGCAGCAAGCTTGCTGAAACGAGTATGGAGGAGCTCAAGTCACTGGATATGTATGTGGCCTTTGACTCTTTGGCCTTGTCCTTGCTGTGATGTCACCACGACGCCCTTCTGATTGACTTGTTCATTGATCTGGAGGTTGATCAGGACAAACTTCTCTGGCTTAACTGGTGCCAGATGTTCTACAAGTGACTGCTGTGTCAGATATCACCACTGCCAATGGCCGCTATGTCCACTGTCCACCAATGCATCTGGATTGGTTTCTGCAATGACACTTCTCAGACCCTTATCACTGGCCTCAAACTGTACGGCCCGGGGTACACATTGGGAACTTTGGCAAAGAACACTGTCCTGCATTCTCTTGCCTTCACATGGTCAACACCACCCTTTACTCCAACCCCTGGAACACTGGCATAACAATTATAGTCTTGGAACTGGCTCTGGTCTCCGACTGTTGGCCTGTTCCACTTTATTGGGGCTGCATGGACTCATCTTACCCTCACAGGCTCCTATAATACTTCTTGGAGGTACGATCCATCTGACAACAACAATGTGACAGACAGCTTACCGCGACCAAGTTCTTGGTGGACTGGTCCTTTGCCTACTGACGTCCTACGTGCCACAGTGAGGCCCCTCTCCGTTACCAAATTGGTGCTTCTCACTGGCACTGGTCTCCCAGTCTTGCCTTCCTCCGACCTGGCCCCTTCCATCCTCAAGGCCTGGTAAGCTTCTGCTGACCTCTGCACCAACTACTATGGGTGGGTCCCTGATGAGATTGGCATACACGGTGATGAGGCTGCCTTGGCGGATGCCTAGATTCAGGGTCGCCTCAGAATCATCAGTGATGGGTCATCCAAAATGACCTGAGAACTGCTGCTATCCAGCTCCTTGCCAAAGCGGGAACTGGTTGCATTGTTATCTGTTGTCAAACTCCAGGTTTACCCCAGTGCCTATCATAGCAAATTGATTGGTCTTCTGTCTGGGATTATGGCGGTTGATTGGCTCCTCCATCAATAGACCCCAGCCCTTACCCAGCGGCCTTATTGTGTCAAGATTGCCTGTGATGGACTTTTGGCCATCAAAATGGCCTTCAAAGGTTGACCCCTCTCACTCACTGATGTGCAGTTTGACCTGGTCTCTTCCATCAGAGCAGTCATCTCTTGGTCTCCACTGTCTTGGTCCCCACTGTTGGGATATGAAGAAATATGAGTTTTTCATTCCAAAAAGAAATATTCAAGTACCAAGTTTTTGACACGTACGATTGGACTTTGATTGTGATGTTGGGATTTGACGCAAGTATGCCGGACGCAAGTCTGTTGGACAATCTACATCCACACAAAAAGGGAATGACCCTATATAAGTGTGATATTGATGTTGTGTACAATGCAGTAGGGAATAATACAAGATGTCCCAAAGTACTGCATTCAACACAGAATTGTTGTAGAGGTCAAATCAAGTTCTGTAAACAAGGGATTTTCCAAGGGAAAATTGTTGAACTTACTTTTGTGATTGAATCATCAATTCAAGCCAAATATTAATCAAATAGGAACAATTTCACTCAAAGTATACCTAGACACAGGAGAAGTATTGTTGTGAAAGTGTTTTACAGACGATTACGAATTTAGATTGCAGAGAGTTTGTTCTGAGCGCTGAAGGCTTTCACGATAGAGCACATTTTGCTTTATTCCAACATTCAATCACAAAAGGCAGCAAAACAAATTTATGTCAAGAACAGCACTGCCTTATCTACAAAGGAGTGAGTGATTTGTTGACAATGGGACGTTCTTCATCCAGTGGTGGAAGAGGACGTGTGACTCCTCAGAAAGTCAAGAGCAATTTGAGTTCAACAGTTGTGAAACATCTATTTCAACGAAAGATGAAAACGATGGAAAGGCAAGATTGTTGTACAAAGATGCCAAAGAAAGAGTGATTGACTATATCCAAGCTTCTGGAATGAAATGTTCCGAAGACATGGTGAAATCAATTTGAGATGGAAAGTCGATCAACTTCAATGCAATCGCTCCAAGATTGAACGCTCCAACTCAAACTGAAGCTGTTGCAAGAGAAACAGAGATGGCCCAAAACAAGATTCTCTATTCTGCAAAGCTCGACAAGAACATGCGAAGATCAGCCTACTTTGAGACAAACAAGAGAACCGTCAAATCAAACATCATGCTGAAGTTTGTGACAAAGGCAATGGATATCAAGCTTTGACGTGAAGCCGATTTCACGACTACTCTTGAAGATCCGATTGAACTCTTGAAACGTATTGAACGATTCATGAAGAAGAGTGCTGATGCTGAGTATGATTTCTTGGATTTCTGGGAAGCAAATCAAAAGTTCTTTGCTATGAAGCAAGGAACAACGGAAAACTTGATGCATTTCAAGGAACGATTCTTGAGACAGGCTGAAGTCCTACAAGATCTATATGGCATGGCCTGGTTCCGAGATTTTGCAGTCAAGACGAAAGCGTATGCTGCTATTGCTAGCACCGATACTGCTGCTCAAAACAAGTTCAAGGATGATATCTTTGAAGCCGTTCTTGCAACAGGATTTCTGTGCAACTGCAATTGAACGAGAACAGCTCCTCTGGTGCTGGATCTTCAGACAAACTATTGCAGAGAAGTGGATTATTATCCAAAGACGGTCAGCAAAGCACAAGATATGTTGAAGATTCACATGGAAGTGACTAAAAATCCGGGAGTGAACCTCTACCAAAAAAAAGAATTTCCTGTTTGTTGTCTGCCTTAAACTTAACAGAAAATTTGTCGAGCATTCTTTGGACATAATCGTCCATTCGAATCTTCAACTTTCCTTTCTTTGAATAATCCAATGTCATTCCCAGATAGGTGCAAACTCGTCCCCACGTGCAAGTCACTTCCTTTAGTCCTCCGTATCTCTCATTTATCCATGTAAAGAAATCCTTGAGAACATTTTGTTCCATGTGGCTTGCTAGCACATCATCAACATGAAACCTGATAGTCAATTGCTTTTTATTGACCATCATGTTCGCAATGCACGGATCGTATCCCTTAACGCTTTAGATGATATAATATATCAGATAAAAATAAATTCCACACATTTCACGTAATAACTTCCACCACGTACAAGTACACCTTTTACTGCCATAAATAAGTTTATTGCCAGTGAAATAAGGAATTCGTCGGTATGATACATGTTATATCTCAGCCCATCACAGAAACAAGGATGAACGTCCGAAGTCGGACAGACCCATTTGCCCCAAAACTGACACCAACACAAAACTGTCTTGTCAGGTCATGAAGACGGCATATTCTTCCACCCTACCATTTGCCATTGATATGTATTATCACAATGGCACTTCTCGGCCTTATCAGAAGGTGCAATAGGCATGGGAGAGGACCATGCCGCTCAATTTGGTGATCTGATGGACCAAAAAAATCTGATTCTGTTGCTTGTCATCCCAAATGTAAATAGTCATGCAAGACAAAGGCCAGCACCTTCAAGGGTGAAGGATAGTCATTCAAAAGTGATTCTAGTGTTGATTGCAATGTGTAACTGCATTTGCATGGCTGTCAATCCTGCAAAGTAGGCTGCTGGCAATTGTGTTGTGGCAGAGTTACATGGCCAACGCATTATGTGACAATATGCCAAGAGGAGCACCAATGAAAACGTTTAGAATGATTGCCACATATAAACCATGGCTTCCTGTGCCTAGATTCAGCAGAAAACAGTAAAAGCACACTGTTGCTATCAAGAAAGGAAATAAGCAACTCCATGAGGTCGATTTCGCTCATCAGAAGGCTCTGGAGAAGCAAACTGGAGCTACAGCGACAACTAAGCTTACTGTACCTGCTAGGAAGTATTCATATTTAGATTTGTCCCTTTGTAATGATCATTTTAATGCTTATTATTGTAGTAGTATGGTGTAAATAGTAGTGCGTAATTTTTTTATATCCAATATAATATATCGGATAAAATCAAGAACTCTTTGTTCCATGTGGCTCGCTAGCACATCATCAACATGAACCCTGATACGCAATTGCTATTTATTGACCATCATATTCACAATGCACGGATCGTATACATTAAACACGAATCCCTATTCTTCCAGTGATACCCTCAGATTTTGGTACCATAGCAAGGAAGCTTGTAACATGCCATAAATGGCATAGAGGATCACAACATAGATCACTCGACGTCCATTTTTGATTACTACATAATCCCGATACATTGGATCTAGGTCAATCATCTAATCAACCAGCAGTCCAGTAATTTTCATTATTACTTGATCTTCTCCTTCCTGCTCGGGCATCAATATTTGGATAAAGGCGTTCGGTAATTCCATTACACCTGTGGTTTTTTTTTTTCTTTTTTCGGGGCGATATTAATATTTTTCGGTTCGTTGTGTAGTTTTCTCGCGCGTTCTGGGTTTCATTGTATAGATTTTGCGCGTGCTATAGCTTTCATTGTATCGTTTTTGCGCATGTTATGGGTTTCATTGTATAGTTTTTGCGCGTGTTGTGTTATGGGTTTTGTTGTATAGTTTTTGCGCTTGTTTTATGGGTCTCTACCTTTTTTATTCGTTTTTTTTTCTTTTTTTTCTTTTGTGGTGGGCTTCGTCGTCTGATTGATCTGCGTTATGTGTTCTTTGGTATAATGTTGGTGATGGTGTTGGGCGTGCTGTGTTGTTGTTTTCTGATGACAATGGCTCTCTGTCCTGTCTCTTTCTTGTTGTTGTTGAATAGTACTTTGGGTGACGCTGCTTGATCTCTTCTGACGTGTTCCACTGGAAGCCTTGTGGGTCGCACCATGGTGAGTTCAAATTCTTGGTTGAAGAGGCTTGAAGTTACTGTTTTTTGATGAAAGTCTGGCACCATCTTTGCCTTCAACATGAATGGTAATCCAAAGAGTGTGTTGACGGGTAGTTGATCCGTCAATCCAAACATCAACTAGTGCTGTGCATTGCGTTGAGCTCGTTGCATGAGCAGTTGATCTTGAGTTTGATGTTGTTGAATGTTTGGCATTGTGATTGGGTTTGGCATTGTTTGAAAAGGAGGATGATTCAAAAAAGGACTCTTCCATTTCAAGGTCGTCAATGGTCAGGTGTTCATGAATATCTCCATCTCGGCAACAGGAGAAGTGACATCAAAAGGTACTGTTGAACTCAGCTTCTGTTGGTGGCGTAATCAAATCATTTTATGTTGGCAAAAGGGAAGTAGTATTCAATGATTGCCTTGATGTTGACACTGTCTTTGATTCCTCCAATCTTGATTGGGGCATAGTGAATCTTTGGAAAGTTGTACACCTGTTTGACCAATTGGGGGTGTTGTTTTGCGATGGCGAGGTGGTATGCTTTTTCTCCTATGTTGCAGCATCCTCCTGTGTCGAATATTCCTTTCAAGTTGGCTGTGTCTCCGCGGTTGAGGCCAATTGGGAAGTGCATCACTGCTAGGGCTTCGTTCACTGGGAAGTCCAATTTTTGTGCTTGTCCCATTGCTGCAAAGCTTCCGACCGTCATGAAAGTGAGTGGGGGGTCCGTTCTCATTTGCTTCCTCTTTTGTCCACTGTTGTTGCCCATGTGCTTGGTGACTGTGTTAGAAGTAAGCGATTCACTGCCGCCTGCAATCTACCTGTTCAATTGACTGCAATTTAGCTGTCCAGGTATTGTTGCCTTCTAAGTATATGAATTTACAGTATATAGAAGTATATAGATCTATCAGAGATTTGATTGGCAAGACGGGAGACGTATGGGCGTTTCTAGCTCTTCCTTAGTCTCAATCCCCGTCGTGTCAATTGCGGCGCGTCACTTCAGTGAAGTACACGGTTGGCGGACGGAGCAAAGAGTGTCAACAAAGAGGGCGGAAGATTTGGAGAAGACATTGTTCGCAATGGGAGCTTGTGGGATGATGGAATTGATAGAAGGAGCTTAGCTGCTTGGTCAAGACTGTCAGCTTTTTGCTTTTTCCCGCCCTCACCGCCCTCTCTCTCATTTGCACCATAGCTCGGTACCCCATTTGGTCCGGGTTTGCCTGTCAATCCTATTGATTGTCCCTTTTGAATCCTATGATTTGACCTTGGTGCAAACCAGTCACTAACTTAGTACCTCGCTACTGTGCCAAACCTACTCGCTTCTCGTATGTAGCATCAGGCTTTTGCCACAGTTTTTCATGGTAGCATACGTGCACGATCTCTCCAGACAAAGACTACATCATGCGATTCAAGCCCAGGAGTGGAGGCGGCGCCGGGTAATCTTTGATTACCTACTTTATCAATCAATTCACTCGTTGCTTGCAATATATTATAAAAAGTGAGAACAGTTTGTCAACTTTTGACTTTGACTCTTTCTTCTCCAGCTCAGTGGAGATTCTCAGAATTCTCTCTACATCAGCCTGACATGCTGCAAGTTCAATCTGTTTATCCGTTCACCTTCCACTGTAGTCGGTACTTTGATTAGTATCCAACTTTGGTTCTTGCTTGAATCTTGCTTTCTTACATCATCAACAAGATGATTTCCATAGAAATAAATTATCTTTTCTGACTTGCCATGTGCAATATTTTTAGTCGTATCAGTCTTCATTTTTAGTCGTATCAGTCAACATCATTTCCTCTATTGTTCACATGTATTCTCTTTTCTCGTTTCTCCAAATATGTACTTAAAAAATCCTAATATATCCAACAGACTATTTTGGCCAAATTTATCAACTTTGTTCTTTGTTCATCTTCCCACGTTTCTGGATGCTCAATCTTTTGAATTGTTTCAAAAACTATTTGATTAATATAACCACTGTCCTTGTAACTTGTTATCTTGCTTTTGTGTTGTCTCTGCTCTCTCTCTTTTGTCTGTAGTCCTCTAGGCTTTTTTCAAACTGGCTGATAACTCCCGGATCTCCTTTGTGGGGGCATTCTCTGAAAGAGTGGCCTATCTTTTTGCATCCCCAACAACAGATCGAAGGTGTTTTGTCACTTTCTTCTTCAATGTTGAGTGTTTCTTTGGCAGCACTCATGCATGCTAGCATTGTTATGGCAGCTTGTGGACAGTATAGTTTGCTGTCGGGTGTCGGGACTAACAGTTGTCTTCTTTGTCCGTCAGTGACTCAAACGTTTTGCTTTGGTGTGGGTGTCAATGCGGTGTGGAAGGTTCCAGCTGTCTCGATCGTTGGAGTTTGGACAGAGCAATGTCTTGGAATCCTTGGAACTCTTGTTGGTGGAATCCTGCAAAAGCTCTTCCTCCTGGACTTGGTGGTGCAGATAGTCCTGGAACGTAGCTTATGTTTGGCCTGACTCGTCCCACGCTGTTTGCAATTCCCACAAGTTGCTTGATGTGCCTCTCTTCTTTCTCTGCTCAATCGCGTAGGCGGTGCATTTGAGACAGGTTGCTGGGGTAGTCCATAAGTAGCGGTCCTGGTGCTCCTGTCTCTAGGTGTTCAGCCACAACGTCCTTGATTTCTTGTGTGAAGGCTTGGAACGCTACTCCTGCCAAGTCTGATAGGTTGGTTGGTGGGGGATTCTCGTGGTTGAACCCGTTTAGAATTGTGGCGATTCTAGGTCTCCACAGTCCCATGTAGACAACTTATATGCGCGATACTCGCGCATGAGGCATAATACAACAGTCGTACGAGTCGATCTTCTGATTTTAGTGCAGATTTTAGTGACTGCAGAAGCAATGTTGGTTCATCATTTTGGTAAAAACTACAGAGGAGCAGTGCAAGTTTTGTAATAGGACTATACTAAGTTTAAAAAGCAACTGAACTGAACCAATTCCTTCTGACTTTATCCTTGTTTCTTCTGAACAAATGTTGCTTCAGATCTTGGCTGAAATGTTTTTCAAACAACTTTTTCTCTTTCTTCACTGAGTGGTTGGTCTATGTGCTCCTTCTTCCATCTGCTGACTACATCATCGGCAATCAAATTTCTGAGCGTACTGTAGTTGATAGAAATAGGTTTACCTTCATCGTAAGCAGCCTTGTCATCATGCATAGACAATGCATCCTCATCATCATCATCATCGTAATGGATTCATCGTTGCCTACTCCATGATCATCATCCTCACTTCCATCGCCGATTTCCATTTCATTTGCAGCCTTCTTCCTTCTTTTCGATTGCCTCATGCTGCTGCCGCGGGATGATGGATTGCGGGGTGAAAGAGGATGAGCTTTGCATCCATCCCTTGTGAACCAGCGTTGGCATTAATTTGAAGTCGCTCCCGCGGTGTAACGACATATTAAAGTTTGGTTTGGACCCACAAATTGTTTGAAATTGTTCCCGCGGGGTTTTGATGTGAGGAATGTGTTTTCAGTTTCAGATCATGTTTGCCTATTAACAATGGGTTGCATTTCCGTTGGACAATAAGTAGTTTAAAATTGATAGGACATTGATTGTTATAAAACGTGACATTGAGGCTTTAAATAAAACTACATTTTGAATAGTTTTGCAGAAAACTTGAGTTAACACTCCCTCCGGAACGACAAGGTGAGTATATTTTTTCCAACATCTCATTGGACGCCATGATCCTAGTTTCGACCTTTGGAACTTCATCAAATAGTGTTAGAACTTTCAAAATAGCTTTAGCACATTGACTCGGACAAACCACTACAACCTCACAGTATTCTGATCTGAGCAAAGTTGTCTACGTGGGACTGTGGAGACCTAGATTCTGCCGAATAAAGTAGCCACGCTGTCGTACATCATCGTGCCTCCTTCGTATCGGATCATGTTGAGCTTTGCCAGTTGTTGGTTTGGCGTCTCCATTCCTTGTTGTAGTCCGACGTAGGTGGCCGTGAGTGCTTGTTCTAGCGCTTGGAATTGGGTCTTTGCAATCTGTTGCTTGGACCACTTTTCGTAGGTTTTGTTATTGAGCTCTCCGTCTCTGGTCGCAGCTATCATCGAGAATTCTTCTCCTAGGGCTGCCATTGCTACGATGATTTCCTTGTGATGTGCTTGGTCCATTACCATTTGCCGAGTGATGGATAGATCCATCTGGTTCTGGACTCTTGGCACTGGAACGTATACAGCTCTGTTGGAAGATGGTGGGAACTTTGTTGGGTCGATTCCAATGTCAGAGTTGGATTTCGGTTCTGGCGGACATCAGACAAGCGACAGGCTTGTCGTCGTCCAAACCGATTGACAACTTTGTGGCCCATCAAGCCATCATTGCCAACCAGCCGTGCCAACATGCAACCCATCAAGTCGTCATGCAGAGGCACTGACCATAGCGATCTCCGATCCGTCTAATACAAAATAATCATCTCTACAGGAAATAATTATTCTAAAAGACTTGTTATCTACATGGAATGGGCAAAGCAAAAGCCTTACACGAAAATTCAAATTTCCCAAACCTTTACTGGATGTTTGCAATCCAGAAAGGCCGGTACAAAACCCACGTACAGAACTCCTGCAGGATTCAGTATGGGAATTTCGTGGCGCTCAGACGTTTGATGGTCCAAGCCCACAATTCCATGTTTTCGGATTCCCTGCAAAACCGACTCATAGGAATCCCCCGAATAAAACGGAGCAAACGGACATTTGTCCGTGTGTCCGATCGGACGTGTCGAACTGCTTCTATCAAGGAGTTTCCAATGAATGGTCTCCAAGAGAGCAATTTCAACAGTCAGTTTGTAGGGAACACAGCCGTGGGACCAATCGGAGCTCGATTCAGAAGTATGTGGCAGCGGCTCGTAATGGTGCTGGAAGTCCTGGTCCCGGTCCTGTAGCGATGGCTTGTCCTGAGTTGTTGATGACATGGAAGCTTGCAAACTCGTACACGTCACTAGTCATGTCGAACAATTTGCTGGCAGTGTTGACTCGCGAGCGAATGTCTGGGCACACAGATGTGTAGCGTTTCATCAAGAAATCTACCTTGTGTTCCATTGTTGTCTTTGTCTGGTTGATGGAGTTCACAGACTGTTGTAGGATTGCTTGCTTGATTTCCGGAGTCTCTGTGGTTGGAGCTATGACGGCAGTATTGATGGTATACTGGTTGTAGGTGATGGTCTCGTCTACATGGCTTCCGTTGACCCAATACAATTTCTTGTTAATGCGATCGCTTCTTTTTTCATTTTTTTCATATTTGTGATGCGATGTGGCAGTCATCGCAGCAAACGCTGCATTCTCCACATTGACAGGACTTGCTGACATCATAGCGAACGCGATGCGCTGGAAATGATCAGGGTTGAACTGTCCTCCCCATGTGTTGGCTGATCGTGTGAACAAACTTGGTGGCTCTGACTGCAAATCGAATGCATGGGGGCTTCGAATCTTGGGCTGGCTTCCACTTAACATGACAACATTGGTCTCCTGACTCTCATTGTAGAGAGAGCGTACTAGTGCATTGATGTAGCTACTGCTAGGCATGATAGACGGTGATTGATATTGCTATTGGGGTGTATTTACGGGGGTCTGAAGCAGCTGTGAGTAGATGATAGATGATTGATCTTGGGCTTGAGATTGGCGACAACTGTTGGCCTTGGATTGCTCTAATATATCTACTTGGGACTTGGCAGTCCAGTCAGTCATGTTACGCACAGGACTAGGGACCTGCAGTTTGTCACATAGATGGTGGCCACATTGTTCTGGAACACTGTGCCATTGGGACGCTCTCCATTCACTTGGGTCGATACACCCACAGCAGTAGGGCGCACAAAGCACTGGCTTCTCACCTGCTACACAATCATGCCCACCACCACCTCATATATATATATATATATATATATATATATCTCCGGTGCATATCTTAATGCCAAATGTGCCAAGAAAGTTTATTGTGTTTTAGGGAAGGAGTTTGGAGAGTATGCCAGGAAGAAAGCTATCCTGGTTAAGGCTGTGTACGGACTCAAAAGTCCGGGATTTGCATGGAGGGAGGAGTTTTTGTGCGGACGTTTTGAAGGAACAATTGGAGTTCCAACCATGCCGTAGAGATATGGATGTTTGGCGTCGTCCTTGTCAATGCAAAGATGGTTCGAAGGATTGTGAGTATATTTTAGTTTACACTGATGACGTCATTGGAATCTTGGAGAATCCAAAAGAAATTATGGACAAACTCAACAATTTCTTTGTTTTAAAGCCTGAATCAATAAAAGAGCCAAGCACATATCTTGGTGCAACAATCTCGAAGCACAAGTTGGATGGTGATGATTATTTCACCTGGGCTATTGGATCTGAAGTGTACATACAGGAGTTGCTAAGAGTTGTCAAGAATGCATTGCTCCAATGCAAGTGACTTTGAAGAAAAAGGTTCATTCAACTATGCCCTCTGGATACAAGCCGGAACTTGATTCTACTGCCTTTGTCAATGATGATACTGCTATTCTTTACATGCAGCTCATTGGTATTCTCCGCTGGCTTGTGGAACTTGGTTGTCTTGATGTTGCTGCCAAAGTTTCTATGCTCTCATCTTACAATGTAATGCCTTGTGAAGGTCACTTTCATGCTGCCTTACATATTTTTGCCTATTTACAGAAACATCCTGATTGCATACTTGTGATGGATTGTAATTATGCTGATCATCTGAGACCATTGAAGAAAGCTGATTACTCACAGTTCTATGAATTCACAAAGGACAAACTCCCAAGTGACATGCCTACACCCCTTGGCAAAGCAGTAGAGTTCACTATGTTTGTTGATGCATCTCATGCTGCTAACGTTGTTACTTGTCAATCAAGAACAGGAGTATTGATTTTTTTAACAAAGCTCCTATCATCTGGTATTCAAAGAAGCAGAACAGTGTCAAGACAAGCAGTTCTGGTTCTGAATTTGCTGCCCTAAAGACAGGTGTTGAATTACTTGAGGGACTACAATTCAAGCTCAGAATGATGGGCGTCCCAATCCAGGTTATTGTCATACTTGTGTTGACAATATGTCCGTTGTCAAGAACTCAAGTGTTCCTGAATCTCAATTGAAAAAGAAATTGAATGCTGTTGCATATCACTATGATGCGCAATTGATATCCTGCGAATTGAATGGATAATTTCCGCTGATAACTTGGCTGATGTTTTAACCAAGATCCAATCTGGACCCGTTTGTGATCATCTTATGGAACACATAATGTGGAAAAGAAAACAAAATGGAAGACTTGCTTGTTTGATTTAGATTTTGAAAAGGTCATCATCCGTTGCCAGATATTGTCAGTCTTGGACAGTATTGGATGATATGTCCTTGAAAGAGGGGGTACGGTTGATATTAGACCAATTTGGAGTACAAGGTTCTATGGTACATCAGTATCACCTTGACAGAAATAAATGAAAGCAGATGAATAGACTTAAAGCCTATAGTGCAACTGCTATTTCACAAGAAGATAAAGATCAATTCAGGTAAAACAACGTGCAGTGAGAAAAGCGATCGTTCATCACTTTTCCATGCAAATCTCTAGAATTATCGCAGAACCCTGATGACTCAGCATTCTCTATGTTAAATCAATGGCGTGTAGCGCTTCATGCACATGCGACGTGTGCAAGGCACAGGCTACACTTCAACCTGGTAATCCTATAGGTCAAGTCACGAGTCCCATTCCTATTAGAATTCTGTCACTCCCCAAATGGGGCAAAGTGAGAGGACCTATTCCTCTTGATCAGCAGTATCACCAGACCAGCATTAGAGTCCGTAATAGTGGCCAGATTTGCTGATGGCCCCGATGCTTGCTGAGAATATCAGCAGGGTTGAGAACACCGTCAATGTGGATAAAAGATAGCATGTTACATGCTACTGCTTCTCTCACACGGTTGAACGACAATGCAACATGCCCCTTGTGTAGCCTTGCTTCAGGTCGGGAAGAACTGTTCACAACACATTCATTGTCACCGAACATGTAGCTTTGACCTTTGATTGGCACACCAAGGTACCTCAAGGTCTGTTGAAGATCCGAGATCTGTTTGACACAGGTTTGAGTGGCCACAAACTCAGAACCACAAGTAGCAGTCTCAACAGTTGACTGCTCCTTAGAGAAGAAATTGATTGGGTTTCCATTCAACAAATAATGGATTATACCCACAACTGATTGGTCTGTCAATAGACAGCTGGGTTTTGTTTTGTTTGGCAGTACGTATGTCACAATGTTTAAGGGCATTGACAAGTTGGACTCTGAACTTTTGGTGATCTTTTGGCATTGGGGTTCCTCTCCCCATATCCACAAGGACCTTGTACCTTGCAAGCAGATCCATCTCAACTTTGGTGGCATGCTTCCAGTTGGTGTTGCCATGGAGTTTGTCAAGTCAAAGGACGCCATTGTGGTTCTTCTGGATCTTGTAGTTGTACATATACTTTACTGTAGTAGTATGTAGCAATCTCAGCTTGACTTGATTGGTTGGACAAAGGAATTTCCTCTTGATCTTCACTATATTTTGAAGAAGTTTACAACCTTGTTTCTCTTGTAGGTTATGATTTCTTGAGTATATAGCGCAGGTCACTGATTCGTTGGCTCCAGTGATGTTCAGTAGTTCTGGGGTATTCTCCCCATGTTTCCATCCAATGGTCATACTGTAAGTCAGACCCAGGTAATAAGAAGGCTGTTCAAGTCAAATGTAGTGATGGTGGCATACAACTTGCTTCAGCTTTGTATCTATGGGGTTGTCCTTGTCAGTTTCTGACCACTTGTGGATCTCATGGTAAGCCATAACATGCTCATATTTGCCTTTATCAATGTTCAAGCATAGTTGAATGCGTGCAGGCTGAATGCCCGCGTTGCGATTACGCTTGTAATTAAGCTCAACAATCTTAGCACATTGAACATAACCTTCATCATCTGGTGAAAGAAGGAAAGTCCGTCCAATGAGGTCCTTTTCTTCTAAAAGAACGTCTTCTATATCTGATTCAACATCACTAGAATGAACAATGGTCTTGAGGGACTTATGGTCTCTAGATTTGATTTTTGTAGGGGGTGTCAACTCCTCCCCATCAGATAGATCAATTGACTTGGTTATTGTAGGGAGCGCTAACTCCTCCCCATCAGGTAGAACAAGACGTTTGTGTAGTCCGGTAGGTGGTAGAGCAGAGCAGATGGCAGAAGGCAACAAGACATTGTTTGTTTTGAGAAACAGAAATATGTTGGTCATGTTGTGACAATCATGCTTGGCAATGCCTACCAAGACGACCATGCAACTGATTGGCTTTGGAAGAGGAGACAGAGGATGATATTTGTGTTCATGGTGGGCGTTTGTGGGAGGTCTAGCAAGATCAGTAGTAGTACAGTGAAAAGAAAGCTTAGGTAACCACGCAAAATATTGACGCTCCCCATTGCCGGGCCAAATACCACAACCAAAACAATCCTTGCGACTTGTGTAGCATCGAGGTTTGGAAGGTATGTCAATAGTGAACGTGTCCTTTGGTGTTGGGGGTCTAGTTGGCAAATCATGTGTCAACTCTTGAGAAGATTCTTTGGTGAACAATGGTCCCACCTCAACATCAAACTTGATAGAGGCATCAGGGACAAGTAGAACACTTGGGTGCCTACATGATTTACTGGCTTCAAGTATGACAAAGATGGGAGGATCAATGTAGTATGGATCTGGACAGGATGACTCTACCATGTTGCGGTCAAAATAGTCCGGTCCAGTATCTGGACAATCTGTTCCGGTATCTGTACATTCGGAATCCTTGTACGGTTCATCAAACGGTGATGCATACTGAAAAGTTTCAAAGAAGTGTATGGCTTCATCAAAAATAGCTTCATCAAAAATAGAATTTCTCTTGAGGATATCTACTTGATCAAAACGGCTCTTAGCTCCTTCCAATCCATCGCCAGTGATACAGTCGGTCCATTTGTCAAAGTCGTCCACTTTGGGATCTAGATCTTCCAATCCATTGTCAGGTTTGGGATCGAACTCATCCACTCTGGAGTCTAGAACACCAGGATCCCAATTCTTGTCAGAGGTTAAGATAATGTGTGGTAGGGTTTTGATGGACACATCTGTTAGTTGATGATCATCTATGGCTCCAACCTCTACAGCACAATTTGTTTGAGACAAGGTGATCACATCATCACCAGCAATTCCACCGTTTGCTCCTCCAGGTCTGAGAGATTGACGTTCAGTCACATACCCTAAGATGTTGTCTCTGGCATTATCAACCACTTCAGGAGGAAGAGTAGTATCAACACCAGTAGAGTAGACATCTCTACTAGGATTATTTTTAGGCCTAGGCTTGGAGACTTGCCGAGTGTCAAAACTTTGGGCTGCAGATTCCACCAGTGTGACATAGTCGTCAAAAATGATTGCCATACCCGTTTGCATCTCAAGAATCCTAGAGAGTCTGTGAATCTCATCGAGATAAGGGACAGCAATAAAGGCTTGTTCAAGAAGCAGATGTTGCTGGGTTTTGGGCATCATTTGACTAATGTCTGTCAAGGTGTGGTATTTGCGTACTTGTTCTTGCCAATGGATGATGAATGATTCATTTGTGTTGTGCCATGAATCATCAAGCCTAGCAGTCATAATCCATTGTAAAAGTCCAGTAGCGGTGGCATCAGCTTTAACAGACTTAGTGTAGGCTTTAGCAAGTTGATTGTAAATTTTCTGCACATCAAATGTTGCATGATGCTCACGAACAAATTGCTTGCCTTTATTGGTGAGGAGAGTCAGTCAAAGAGGTCCTTTTCATCAACAGTTTGTGGGCGGTACTTATGATTAAGAACATTTTGTAGACCGTAAGTGCGACAGATGGCTGGGAGATTACAATTGTAGTTTTCCCATTGCTTGTCATTGCTAAAAGTAGGGAAAGACGACAGGTCTTGTCTGATGCTTCTATCGAATTCATCAGCAGGGGTACAACGACTGGGTTTCTGGATAATAGGTTGTGGAATAGTTCTATTACCAAAAGTTAAGAGCTCTCCAGAAGCTCTATAGTCAAGTACACTTCCATAGTCAATATCCATGCAGTTGTCAGGGTTGACAGGATCGTTATGGACATGTTTGCGGTAGTAAACGTATCCTTGGATGACCTTGATGAGACTGCGGATGGACAGTGGTACCAGGGCAACTTGATCATCTTGGAAATCGCCTTCATCATCTTCTTGGATAAACAAGAGAGTCAATCGCCACATTGGTCATAGCCATGAGGTCAATGAAGCAAGTAATTTTAGCATGCTTCAATGCTTGAGCAAGAATACCATCTGGAGGGAGATCCAGAACCTCAACCAGGATGTGTTCTAGACTGTCTGGACAATGACCAGGAGGACGGTGGCGGGTTGTTGATGGTTGCATGGGTGAATTAAATCCCAAACCTAAGGACACATGAGACGGTCGAGAGGATACAGATCCTCCTCTTGACAATGTTGGACGCTGCTCGCGAGTTTGTTCCCAACGTTGGGCTTGTAGTTCACGTTCGGTGCTCATTGTAGGACGATAAAGAGCAGTAGTAGAGCTTGACTTTGAAATAATCTAAAAGTATATTAAGTCAGAGGCGACCTTTGCTATAGATCGATTAACCCCCCTATCCTGTGAGAAGCTGAGCACAGGAACAATCCTTGGTCACCGGCCAAGCTGATAGGTAGGAAGGGACACAGCACGGAGGACCGGCAACTTGACTTGCCCGGAGTAGCGAGTTAGAGCCCCTGGTGAATGCAAGCAAACAAGTCTACTACAGGTAGGATGATCCTGCGAACTCTAATTTGTGTACGCCCTGAGTTTGAGGACGGTCCTAACGTTGGACTGGAACCGATGCAATCCAAAAGTAGAAAAGGAAAAGCAGACGCGCCTGAATCAATTGCTTGCACAGCAAAAGCCCGTTCCTGGGGCGTCTGGTGTAGGTCCGGCGTTTTACTTTGCAAGGGAAGGTGAACCTTTCAAGCGGGACTTCCACCACAGAAGCTGTTTGACCGGTTGAAAGATTCGGATCCCTTGGTTCCGAAGAAAACTCCTTGACAACGAAAGGAGGTGACACTCAACGCTGTATTGATAGCGATCAATAAATAAATAAAACCCCAATACCTTACGACTATAGCAATAGGGCCGCTACTAGCCGAGCACCCCAAATTTTGTCGTTCCAAACCTTGAAAAATAACTCGGGCGCCTGTAGAAACCGAGTTCTTCGTTCGAATTAAATGTTATGAGTACTGTGCCTCAGAAATTAATCCAAATCGAACGGTGGGATGGGCTTGATGGGAGCCCAAAAAGAACTTGCGAAACGCTGAAAGTCGATCTGCGAGTTGTTGTGTTGTTCGTCGTTGATGGGAAGACGAATTCCAAAATGTTGATTGTCCTTGTCTTTGATGGAAGACGAGATTGGTAAAATTTCTAAAGGACAATCGCTGCAGTCGGATGTGTGCGCGACTGCAAGAATGTGAGCTTGATGGGAGCTCAGTAACTTGCGAAAGGCGAGAATGTGAGCTTGATGGAAGCTCAGTAGCTTGCGAGAGCGCTGTAGATCCGATCCGCAAGTTTGTTGTGTTTTTGTCTTCTGATGGGAGACGAATTGAGCGATCTCTGATGGGGAGATCAATGCAGTTAGCTGTAGGCGTAACTGCGACTGTTAATCTGACAGAAATAAATGCAAGTAGATGAATAGACTTAAAGCCTATAGTGCAACTGTTAATCTGACAGAAATAAATGAAAGTAGATGAATAGACTTAAAGCCTATAGTACGACTGCTATTTCACAAGAAGATAAAGATCAATTCAGGTAAAACAACGTGCAGGGAGAAATGCTTGGAGCATTGAGTATGTGCATTGCACTTCTCGCTTCCATCGCAGCCTTGACTTGTCTTGGAGTGAATCCTTCCTTGTTCTTTCGAACAGTTGCCATCTTGGAGGTCATCTCAAGTCCAGCATATCCATTCTGTTTGTTTGAAGAAAGTTTGAAATGGGGTTGATTATTTAAGTTGCTTAACTGGCGACGGTATATCGCACTTGTCTCTTTGGCGCCTGGTTCGACATTTGCTCCAAGTTGCTCCAACACATGCACACCCTTACAATTCACAAATTGCATCTTTCTGTTTCCATCACAATGCACAATAAAAGCATTGTCAGCATCAGTATCCATAGTAATGCGGTATCCCGCAACAATCATCTCGCGCGTAGCAAGTACATTGGCAATTCCATCTTCATCGTGATAAACTGGAGGTGAAAATCTTCCTAGAAAACCTTCTTCGTCAAGAACTCTGCTGCCCACGTTAGTGTGCATGTCAAGTTCTTTCTCAGCATGACGGAGTCCATGCATGAGCTCACCATTACAAATGGTGGTGTTTGTACAACCACTGTCCATGATGACATGATCATACAACCCAAATGGATCTCTTTCCTTTCTGCAGCTTTGAATAAACTGCAGACCTCAATCTGCTTCAGTAGCAAGATCAGGCAAATCTTCATCTTCACTAGCATAATGCCAGTCAACTTGAAGTTTGACATTTGTTCTACCAGCAGGACATGGAATAAGATAGACATCATTGCCATTCTCATCCTTTCCCTTGATAGCATTGTGAAAGACATTTGACGTATCAAAATATCCGGTTTTCACAGCTTGCGGAGTTTGAGCTTGAGTTGCATCAAATTCTTGGCGCACTTGAGCACCACTGAAGCCTTGTCGGCTGAGTTGCATTCCACTGAACGCAATCTCACCGATAGCATTCATAGAATAAGGGACTGTAACAGTGCCGCCACCTTGAGTTGGAATCTGCATGAGCTGCATTCCAGAAGGAACTTGCATCATTTGATTACCTGTAGTACCAGCAAGTTGCAAAGGTGTGTTAACGCTTCCCACAACACTTGATGCTCCACTTGTGGACGCTGAAGCTCCAGGAACTATAGCTGGAACAGTAGCTGGGACAGTTGCTCCAATCTGATTAAGATTGAGCTTCTTCCCATAGTCGACATATTGATCCTGATTCTTCCATTGGGTCTTTGGTAGCAGTCTGTCTGGGCATTTTGGAGACATATGGTCTTCGTTGCCACATACATAACATACTGCCTTCTTTCCATCCTTCGGCTTCCCCTTTCCTTTTCCTTTTCCTTTACCTTTACCTTTATTAGGTTGGTCTTTTCCTTGGTAGAGGTTCACTCCCGGATTTTTAATCACTTCCATGTGAATCTTCAACATATCTTGTGCTTTGCTGACCGTCTTTGGATAATAATGCACTTCTCTGCAATAGTTTGTCTGAAGATCCAGCATCAGAGGAGCTGTTCTCGTTTGATCGCAGTTGCACAGAAATCCTGTTGCAAGAACGGCTTTGAAGATATCATCCTTGAACTTGTTTTGAGCAGCAGTATCGGTGCTAGCAATAGCAGCATACGCTTTCGTCTTGACTGCAAAATCTCGGAACCAGGCCACGCCATATAGATTTTGCAGGACTTCAGCCTGTCTCAAGAATCGTTCCTTGAAATGCATCAAGTTTTCGGTTGTTCCTTGCTTCATAGCAAAGATCATACTCAGCATCAGCACTCTTCTTCATGAATTGTTCAATACGTTTCAAGAGTTCGATCGGATCTTCAAGAGTAGTCGTGAAATTGGCTTTACCTAAGAAGAACTAGAACACAAAGCAATTGCATTCGCCACTATCCCATACCAAAGACAAGTGCCAACAACCAACGACAATGAAATTGGCAATAGATCCACTAATAGACGATGCATGGCCAAGGCAGATTTTTGGAGACTAAACGCACTATAAACATTAAACTAATACACTTTAGACCCTCTGCTTCTTGTTTGGATTGTAGAGTTCAAGTTGAACAGGTGAACGCTTTAGACTGCCCGTTCCTGGTGTTTTCAAGGCAAAGTGAGAGGGGCCTAGTCCTAGGGCTTCCAAACGTTCAGCCAATGTATTGTCATCCGCTCCCACCTTAGGCTTGCAGATGTGAATCTTGTGTTTGTGGCGCTCATCATTCAAATAGTTGTTGAATTTCTTGGCACGCACTTGTTGGTATATGTGTTGGCAAAATACATTGAGAGTGAAAGCCTTATACTCTTCTCTGGTTTCTCTCAGTTGCTTTGGCTTCATCACTTCATGCTTCTTCTCTTCAACATCTGTCTTCAACAGAAACTTTGTTGGATGCATGGCCCATTTGGTGTTCCATCAGCGTTGATTTCGACTTTGGGATACCACTTGAACTCCTCTAGCATAAGCAGCTCTTCTTCCTTTGATCTTTTCATGTATTTCTTCACTTGGTCCTGATGAGCTTTCAATCTGGCTTTGAACCGCTCTAGATCCACATCCTTAAAGGCCGGAAGGAACTTGCAATGCTCTTCCCACGCCTGAGCATAGGGCATGGCAGACTTCTCTAGCCAGTCCCGGAATGCTTGGAAGCATGTGTCCTTGAATTTGGGCAAGTCCTCGTAGTACTTCTGCCATTTCTGCTGCGGCTTCTTTGCATCGTTCTCAAGGGATAAGATGCCTCAAGTCAAGTCCTCGACGAGGATGGCCTTGGCTTCACTTCCATCCCATTTAATAGCTTCTTCTGAGGCGGGCTTTCCTTCTTCTTTAGTACTTGACGACGATGGTCATTCAATTTCTCCTTGAACTTTTTGAATGCGACAGCTTGGACAACAGGATTATCTGCATAGAATTTGTTGAAGGCTACTTCCGCAGACATTTCGGACTCGTCCAATGGCAGTTTTTTATTCTCCAAGTCGGAAAGTATGACAGCACAAGCTGGGTTATCTAGGCAGGTTGGCTGTTTCTCCTTAGTTGTCTTATTTGTGGCTGGCATGATAAGGAAACAACGATCAAGATGTGGTTGAGACGAATATGTGAGAGTAAAATGACAAACGTTGAGTCAGGTCATGGCTCCAGACGCGGGAAGATGCTGGGATATGACAAAATATGAGTTTTTACGTTCCGAAAAGAAACTATTCAAGTACAAAGTTTTCGACACGTACGATCGGATTTTGATTGTGATGTCGGAATTCAACGCAAGTATGCCGGACGCAAGTCTGTCGGACAATCTACATCCACACAAAAAGGGAATGACCCTATACAAGTGAGATATCAATGTTGTGTACAATGCAGTAGCAAATAATACAAGATGTCCCAAAGTACTGCATCCAACACAGAATTATCGTAGAGGTCGAATCAAGTTCTGTAAACAAGGGATTTTCCAAGGGAAAATCGTTGAACTTACTTTTGTGATTGAATCATCAATTCAAGCCAAACATTAATCAAATAGGAACAATTTCACTCAAAGTATATCTCGACACAGGAGAACTATTGTTGTGAAAGTGTTGTACAGTCGATCACAAATTTAGATTGCAGAGAGTTTCTTCTGAGCGCTAAAGGCACTCACGATAGAGCACATTCTGCTTTATTCTAACATTCAATCACAAAAGGCAACAGAACAAATTTACGTCAAGAACAGCACTGCCTTATTGACAAAGGAGTGAGTGATTTGTTGACAATGGGACGTTTTTCATCCGGTGGTGGAAGAGGACGTGTGACTCCTGAGAAAGTGAAGAGCAATTCAAGTTCAACAGTTGTGAAACATCTATTTTCAACAAAAGATGAAAACAATGGAAAGGCAAGATTGTTGTACAAAGATGCCAAAAAAAGAGTGATTGACTATATCCAAGCTTCTGGAATGAAATGTTTCGAAGACATGGTGAAATCAATTCAAGATGGAAAGCTGATCGACTTCAATGCGATTGCCCCAAGATTGATTGAACCCTCCAACTCAAACTGAAGCTGTTGCAAGAGAAACAGAGATGGCCCAAAACAAGATTCTCGTTTCTGCAAAGCTTGACGAGAACATGCAAAGATCAGCCTACTTCGAGACAAACAAGAGAACCGTCAAATCAAACATCATGCTGAAGTTTGTGACAAAGGCGATGGATATCAAGCTTTCACGACTACTCTTGAAGATCCGATCAAACTCTTGAAACGTATTGAACGATTCATGAAGAAGAGTGCTGATGCTGAGTATGATTTCTTGGATTTCTGGGAAGTGAATCAAAAGTTCTTTGCTATGAAGCAAGGAACAACCGAAAACTTGATGCATTTCAAGGAACGATTCTTGAGACAGGCTGAAGTCCTGCAAAATCTATATGGCGTGGCCTGGTTCTGAGATTTTGCAGTCAAGACAAAAGCGTATGCTGCTATTGCTAGCACCGATACTGCTGCTCAAAACAAGTTCAAGGATGATATCTTTGAAGCCGCTCTTGCAACAGGATTTCTGTGCAACTGCAATTGAACGAGAACAGCTCCTCTGATGCTGGATCTTCAGACAAACTATTGCAGAGAAGTGCATTATTATCCAAAGACGGTCAGCAAAGCACAAGATATGTTGAAGATTCACATGGGAGTGAGTAAAAATCCGGGAGTGAGCCTCTACCAAGGAAAAGACCAACCTAATAAAGGTAAAGGTAAAGGAAAAGGAAAGGGGAAACCAAAGGATGGAAAGAAGGCAGTATGTTATGTATGTGGCAACGAAGACCATATGTCTCCAAAATGCCCAGACAGACTGCTACCAAAGACCCAATGGAAGAATCAGGATCAATATGTTGACTATGGGAAGAAGCTCAATCTTAATCAGATTGGAGCAACTGTCCCAGCTACTGTTCCAGCCATAGTTCCTGGAGCTTCAGCATCCACAAGTGGAGCATCAAGTGTTGCGGGAAGCGTTAACACACCTTTGCAACTTGCTGGTACTACAGGTAATCAAATGATGCAAGTTCCTTCTGGAATGCAGCTCATGCAGATTCCAACTCAAGGTGGCGGCACTGTTACTGTCCCTTATTCTATGTATGCTATCGGTGAGATTGCGTTCAGTGGAATGCAACTCAGCCGACAAGGCTTCAGTGGTGCTCAAGTGCGCCAAGAATTTGATGCAACTCAAGCTTAAACTCCACAAGCTGTGAAAACTGGATATTTTGATACGTCAAATGTCTTTCACGATGCTATCAAGGGAAAGGATGAGAATGGCAATGATGTCTATCAGCCGACAAGGCTTCAGTGGTGCTCAAGTGCGCCAAGAATTTGATGCAACTCAAGCTTAAACTCCACAAGCTGTGAAAACTGGATATTTTGATACGTCAAATGTCTTTCACGATGCTATCAAGGGAAAGGATGAGAATGGCAATGATGTCTATCTTATTCCATGTCCTGCTGGTATGACAAATGTCGAACTTCAAGCCAACTGGCACTATGCTAGTGAAGATGAAGATTTGCCTGATTGTGCTACTGAAGCAGATCGAGGTCTGCAGTTTATTCAAAGCCACAGAAAGGAAAGAGATCTATTTGGGTTGTATGATCATGTCATCATGGACAGTGGTTGTACAAACACCACCATTTGTAATGGTGAGCTTATGCATGGACTCCGTCATGCTGAGAAAGAACTTGACATGCACACTAATGTGGGCAGCAGAGTTCTCGACGAAGAAGGTTTTCTAGGAAGCTTTCCACCTCCAGTTTATCACGATGAAGATGGAATTGCCAATGTACTAACTATGCGCGAGATGATTGTTGCGGGATACCGTATTACTATGGATACTGATGCTGACAATGCTTTTATTGTGCATTGTGATGGAAACAGAAAGATGCGATTTGTTAATTGTAGGGTGTGTATGTGTTGGAGCAACTTGGAGCGAATGTCAAACCAGGTGCCAAAGAGACAAGTGCGATGTACCGTCGCCAGTTAAGCAACTTAAATAATCAACCCCATTTCAAACTTTCTTCAAACAGACAGAGTGGATATGCTGGACTCGAGATGACCTCCAAGATGGCAACCGTTCGAAAGAACAAGGAAGGATTCACTCCAAGACAAGTCAAGGCTGCGATGGAAGCGAGAAGTGCAATGCACATACTCAATGCTCCA